CTCTGGGCAGGTCTGGGCGGCGTGGCGGCCAGCACAGCAGAGGGACTGGTGCGGTCACCGGTCGGTTAGATGGGAGAGGAGATGGGGCTTCCATGGTGGTCACAAGGTTCTTAGTCCTCACGGAGCGGTGGGCAGGCCCGTCCAGGGACCGCGAAGGGGTCCCGCCTGACGCGGTGTCCGCCCTCACGCTAGATCTTCGGCTGCTTCGCGCTGACCGAGCTCAGTCACGGCAGTAACACCAAGGCCGTGCGGACGACCGCCCACTACGACCCGGCCACCGAGGTAGGTGCTCCGTCCCCTCTGCCTCTGGGCTTCAGGCGCATGACACGTGGTGCGGTCAGGAGTGACACGCAGTCAGTCCCCGAGACCCGCCTCACACGCGCCCCCCGCGCCGACCCGGGGAGCTCAGGGGTGACCACTGACTGGAGGGGGGTGAGGGACACGGGGGAACACCCCCGGAGGCGGTCAGGCCTCACTGCCCAGGGGACACCGCCCGGCGGCCGGCTGCGTGGTTTTGCGTGGGTTGTGTGGTTTGACATATTGAACACCGTTTTCTTTCCTTTCTTGCTTTAACCCTCACCTGAGGATGGTTTTATTGACTTTTAGAGAGAAAGGAAGGTGGGAGAGAAACACTGATATGGGAGAGAAATAGCGATCAGTTGCCTCCCATATGCGCCCCCACTTGGGACCAAACCCCCAACCCAAGGTTGTGCCCCGACCGGGAATCGAACCCACAACCTTTTGCTGTCCAGGGCGACGCTCCCATCAGCCGAGCCACTGGCCAGGGCTTCGGCCTCGTTTTCCTCAGGGAGGTCCTTTAAGTCGTCAGGCCCAGGGACCACGCTGCCTCCAGGGAGTGGACACCTCCCCTGGGTTCCTACTCCTGTCCAGAGAGTGTGACCCGAGAGCCCTCGGAGGAAAGGAGCCTCCCTCCCTCCAGCTGAGTTGCTGACCATAACCCTTTCCTGTGCAGGAATTCATCATCCATTCCCCCGACTTCGAAGCCGCCAAGTTCTGGGTCGGCAACATGGGCAAGACGGCCACGCACGCGGTGGTGTTCGCGCAGCTGTACGTGCCGGGGGGCCAGTGCCACGGCCTGCACCCCTTCCTCGTGCAGGTGGGCTGCGCGGGGCGGGGGAGGGTGTCGGAGACGCGGTCCTCGCCGCGGGGGCGGGTGCTGCCGGCACTCCTGTGTAGACAAGGATGCTGCTAAGCCTCCTACAGCACAGGGGGATCCCCGAGACAGGACCGTGCACCCCGAGGACTGGCTGCTGCTGAGCCCTGGGCCCCGGGGTCACAGGGGGAGGACTTTCCGTCTCATCGGCCAGGTGGGCGTCGGCTCCGACCCTCGGCTCAGGTCTGGACTGCCCGGCCAGGTCTGGGGTCCCCTGGAGTGTTTGGTCACAAACAGGAAGTTACTGCCCAAGGAGTGGCGCCTGGGACTGGGGGCCGGGCAGGGGCTCCCCGACCCGGGGCTGCTGCAGGTCCAGAGCCGGGGCTTCCGGAAGCTCCTTCAGACCTTCCCGCCGGGGCTGCCGATGCCCAGGAAAGCCCGCTGTCCCC